CCCCCCACCAGAGCCCAAGCCACGACGCCGGAGGCATTCAAGGAGTGTGAAACTCGGCTTCCTGATTTATCAGCTGCTATCCCGAGGGGCAGGAGGTGAACCACCACGATAAAAAACTTTTACGGAGACCTGGATCTGTACCGGTTAAGTATTTGCTGCTGTAGAAGCAGAAGAGGAGCTCCTTCAGCAGAACAGACCTGTGCTGTTACAAGTTTAGATGTTCGGCCAAACTCTGAAATAGCCTGTTAAGTCAGAGCTAATTAGTAGAGGAGAGGAACGAACTACCGTAAGACTGAACACACTTTCCCTGCTTCCAACAGTTATTTAACAGCCTCAAACCCATTTTAGCCAGCAGTTTCAAGTGCTGGAGACCTCACTAAATGATGAATTTAAGGACGCACCGCATCATCAGCCTTTTGCAAGGATGGGGAGGGGGGATGTTTCAGCAAGTACGATGCTCTAATGCTCTCCCTCCGCGCAGCCCCCACCAAGCAGCATGCCCCATGCCCCCGGCCAGTCTCTCCCTCCCCATGCCCATCCCTGACCCCACAGACCACCATCCCCCCCCCTCTCCCTCCCCACCCCGGACCCATCTCGCCCTGCTGCCGGAGCGAGCCGACAGGACCCCACTGCTGCTGCTGCCGCTCTTGAAGCTTTCCAGCACACTCAGGGTGGGATTTAACAGAGGACATCACCAGGGCACCCGGAGCCCTCTGAGGAGCAAGGGGGGGGCTGCAAGGGGGGGAGCTGGGGCGGCAGCCGGCCAAGCTCTCGCCTTTAGCACAGGGGACTGCCAAGGCAGTGGTGCCATCCTCCCCGAAACTGCCTCGATGCAGCTTGGAGAAGGGAAATCCGGCTCAGCTTCCAGGGGTTCAGCCTCTCCCCACCCCGCAACCTTCTCCATTTCCACAATCAAAACTTTCCCTGGCTATTTTGCCAGGCTGATTTTTGTTGAGGCTGTTGTTTCAGTGACAGCAATACCACAGTAACTTGATTTAGGTGAGTAACCGAGCAAGTCCGATTGACCAGCATGCTCTCTGCCAAAAGCATTAACCAAAGACCAGAACAATAATTCAAAGTTATTAAATTGCCCGAATGAAATTTTCTACTAGCCCTACTCATGAATCTCCACCTACGGAGGAGCACGCGTAACCACCGAGTTACACAGTGCATGTACAAACACATACACACGTGCGCGCACACGCATGCACGATGCAGTCTGCGGAGTGTTTCCTCATGTTTTGCAATACTTTCCACATAGAATTTTTTTTTCTGAGTTGTTAAAAACCAAGTAGCAGCAGGAAGAACTGATCCATTCATTGATTATATAGGTAAAAAAATTGGGAAATTGATGGATGACAGATGCTTACAGAGAGTTTAAAAAAAAAAAAACAGAAAGGTCAATTTTTTCTTGCATCAGCAAAAAAACTCCAACTAATACTGCTGAAGTTTGTCTTGCTTTTAGGACAGTGGTGCTAGCACGCACTTTCCGTAGTCCCTGCCGCAGCCCAGAGGGAGCAGCCAGCCCCGCCGGCCCCATGGGGAATTTCACAGCCCCCCGCCTGCCTGCGAGGACCTGTGCCGGCCACCCGCACGCACCCCCCCGGCCACCGCAGCAAGAAGTCACCCAGGAAAACGACTTTCTCACAGTTTGGAGTTTTACAGCCCGCCTTTATCGATAAGCCAGCCTGGCAAACGATGTACTTTCTTGCTCCCCATCACCCTTCTGCCCTCCATCATCCTTGGCTTTGCCTGGAAGCTGCAATACGGGCATTTCCCAGTGTGACAGCACCTTCAGGAAGCTGAATTCCTCGTCGCCTCTTCCCCCACCCCCTTTCTGCGTGTAAACAATAACCTTAGACCTTCGCTTCCCCTGGCTGATGTGGTACTTCATCGATTAAACAGACAATCTCTTTAAGACAGTAACTTTGGTGACAGTTAGCTATCTCCCGAAAAGCGGGTACAACCATAACCAGTAACTTCCAGACCCCAAAACCAGCACGGAGAGCACCAGCCGTGGCAGCTCCGTACCGGCAGAGCCCGAGGTCAGCAACTTTAACCAAGCAACACCGCGAGAACACGACGATTACGCCGCCTGCGCAGCTTTGCTGCAAGCTGCCGCGGCGCAGAGACACGTACGCGCTTCAGAAAGCCATCTAAATTCGCTTACATCTGTCATTGTCATTTTGGTCAGCAATGGCATCTTCCAGAGCGACAGACTTTGGCTTCTTTTCACTGTTTCCTTTCAAGTTTTCCCAGTCTGCCTGGCTGAATCTGCAGACCTCTGAGTCTTTGGTAGCTGTTTGGCCTTCTCTCTCTTTCATCTCCAACTCTGAGAAGCGCATCATTGCACGCTAGAAAGAGAATTGATATGAAAAAAAAAAAAGTCTTGCGATAAAAGCTACTTCATTTACCTTACCTTATAATGAAAGCATTTCCAAAGGAAAATCGGCTCAAAACCAAGGGTTGAGATAGATAGCTAAGGCAGCAGTTTAACACACCTGACTTGTAAAGCAGTGTTCTAGCATCTATATGCAAATAGCCACACAATTCTTTCATATGTAGGTGTATATATATGTAAGATATATATATATAAAAATGCATACTGTATATAAAACAAAAACATTCTGTTTTGGAGGTAAAAAAGAGACAAAAACAAAAAGGAAACAAAACAAAACAAAACAAAACAACACAAAACCGTACAATGAATAAAGACGACCATGGCCCACAAACTTCCCTTTGTGTATTTGGAAATGAAATTAAACTCAAAGGTTTATGTAAGAGTCTAGTAATAAAAATTTGAAGAACTGACCTCACAGTAAGCAGCAGGTAGACATAAAATACTGTCCTCTTGTAATCCTTCCATCTATGTAATTAAAATGGGCACTCAATGGATCATTTAGATAATTTCATCCATTTTTATAAGCATAAACCAATTCTTTTCTTAACAATGCAAAACAATTTGGCTTAACTCATCCCTTCATTAAAAGTAAAATACCTTAAGGATATTCCTACACAGTATCTGTCTGTCATCCCTCAGCATCAACCTCAGTACCGCTCCTACTCTTCCCTACGCGGTCGCTTGGCGCAAACGTTGCCTGAGACCCGCTAAATGCATGGCTGCGACTCCTCTCCATCAAACGGCACGTTTGGCATACTAATCACAACTTCTGGGTACGCGGTGCTAGCCGGCACTACAGGCCAGCCGAGAAATTACAGCCATCGCTAGCGCCAAGGTAACATGCATGCCTGTCCGACTCCCCTCCGTAATTGCACCAACATTTCATACGTACATTAACATTTTTATCAGATCTTAGCAAAAGCCCTTTAAAGCTTACTTAGCGCGTAACGCCTGTAAAAGCCATACATGCTATGCTGTACATCGCCTCGCTCTCACTAGCAAACTTACTCTGCTACTTAAAACCATTTCTGGCGATTACGCCCCGAAAAAAAAAAAAAAAAAATCCGATTTCCCCACCTGCGTTGCTTCTCTCAACTTTAAAACTTGACTGCGACTTGCAACAGAGAAATAACGACAAAAAAAGCGCGGCGGCCGTTGGACCGCGCAGACTCACCTGCAACGCCCGCTGCTCCCGGCTGAGCTGGCTGGAGTCTGCGTACAGTTCGGTCGTCACACACTTGAATCGATCACCTACGTAACCGGCAGAGTTTGCGATCCTCTTGGCCAACTTAGACGGCTTGGGTTTCAGTATTTTGCCATCGGCAGATTCGGCGTCGTCGGCTCCGTCTTTGGTATAGGGCTGGCTGGCGTCGATGCTCGGCGGCGCGGTCCCCATGCAGAACGGCTTCGCATCCTCCTGCACCTTGCCGAAAGCCAGAGCCGGAGCATCGCCCTCGTGAGCGCCTTCCAAGAAAGCGGGCGAAGGCTGGACCGTCACTCTCTCTTTGGGCTGGCTCACGGATAAATCTTCTTTCCTCAAGCCGAACACCGACGAACTCTGGGCTTGCTTGAAATTATAGGTTTCGTGAAGATCATTATTTCTTCCAAACTCCTCTCTCATTACAATAAAATCTCTGTGCTGCGACGCCTGCTCTGCCTTGTGCTTTGTAGGGTCATTAGCCTGATTACTGCTTTCCGTAGCAAAGCCGGCTTTCGTTACATTTGCTTCGCTTTTAGCCTCTTGCTCGTCTCGCAGGAGATCCGGGAAGAGGTGCTTGTCGCTTTTGGCCAAGTTTTTACCATGGCCACCAGAGTTCTGGTGCAATTTCACGCTCTTGTCGCCCGGTACCTCGAAATGCATCTTCCCGCTGCTCTCCAGGAGCTCCGGCAACCGGCCCCTCAGAGCCGGGTCCTCATAGCGGACCCTCTCGTGTGACCGCGACCGCCTTTCTGCCTTCTCCTCCTTGTTGATCTCCAAAGCCGAGTGCTGCAGCAGCATGGGGTGCACCATCCCCATCCCCAGGGCGTCCTGGTAGGTCATGAACTCCCCTCGCCCCGCCGGCAGGCTGTAGGGGAGGCCGGGTTTGGGAGCCAGGTGGCCAGGGTAGAGGCTGCCATTGGGCAGCAAGACGGGGTGCGGGTACACGTGTCCTTTCCCGTGGAGAGAGAGAGGGCTGATGGCTATCCCCTCTGGCACTGGGTACGGCAGGTAACTCCTGGGGTA